GCAGGGGACATGGGTTTGTGCCCCGGTCCGGGAAGATCCCACATGCCACGGAGCGGCTGGGCCCGTGAGCCATGGCCGCTGAGCCTGTGAGTCCAGAGCCTGTGCTCCGCAACGGGAGAGGCCACAACACTGAGAAGCCTGCGTACAGCAAAAAAAAAAAAAAACAAAAAAACAAAAAAACAAAAAAACCCTCTTGCGTTTGAGTATCAAGAATAAAAAGAAAAGTATACTATTATCATTTCTACACTATTTAAAGTGCAACTGAAAAACCAGCCCATCTTATAGTATCTTCCCAAGAGTGAAGATATTGAGTAGCTTAGTCAAGAATAGAGTAATAAGGTTTTTTAAAAATTGATTTATTTTATTTTTATTTAGTTTTGGCTGCATTGGGTCTTTGTTGCTGTGTGCGGGCTTCCTCTAGTTGCGGCGAGCGGAGGCTACTCTTCGTTGCAGTACACGGCCTTCTCATTGAGGTGGCTTCTCTTGTGCAGAGCACGTGCTCTAGGCACACGGGCTCAGTAGTTGTGGCTCGTGGGCTCTAGAGCACAGGCTCAGTAGTTGTGGAGCATGCGCTTAGTTGCTCTGTGGCATGTGGGATCTTCGACTAGGACCAGGGCTCGAACTGTGTCCCCTGCATTGGCAGGTGGATTGTTAACCACTGCACCACCAGGGAAGTCCCACCTTGAAGTATTGATGCCTAATTGAATGTGAGGAGGAAAGAAGGTGAGGGAGTGGGAGGAATCCGGGTGGCATGATCCTCAGATTCCTGAATTAGGGAGCTGGAAGTGTGATGCCCATTCCCTGATGGAACTCTAGAAGGAAGAGCAGTTGGGGGTGAGGAAGTAATGAGTTCACTTTTGGATATGATGACCTTGGGGTGACTGTGCACCAGCCCACTGAGAGATGGTCAGGTGGTGGTGGGACATATCTGGGATGTCACTATTTCATGAATGGCCCCACTCAACAGCCACCCTTCACTCTTTATCTTTACCCTGCCTATGTATCAGTCACGAAGGTCTGTCAGTTCTACTTCCTTAATATGTAATTTCCACTTACATAAATCTTGGTCATTTGGATTAGTGTGTGCAATGCCAAATAACTGTGAATACCTTAGCATTTCTACAAGGCCCTTCAAGATCAGACACTCTTCAGCTTTATCCCTCTCAACGCTACTCCATGTGGAGCCTGCACTCCAGCCATACTGAAGCAGCTGAGGTTCTCATGAGATCTTGTTCTCACTCAATTCTGCATCCAAGCACAAAGACATGTCTCCAACCCCAACCCCCCTCTCTGGCTGCACATCAGGGAGAGGCAATGATGAGTAAGATAGGGCTGACCCTACAGGATCTCCTAGTAGATAATCAAAAAACTGTGGCTCAACTGAGTCAGATTTATGTCCCTTCTTTGAGGTTCACTGAGAGCAAAAAGTCAGGCCCCAGTCTATTCATTTAAATTAAGTAGGCAAACCTATTGCAGAGAATCTGGTGGGTTACTTAATCATCACATAAAATAGATGTTTCATGTACTCATGTTGTTTTATTCTACTGAGAATACAGGCATCATTGTTAGATAAAAAATTGTTTGGTAGTATGCTGCAATAAATATCTATAAAAAAGTATGTGTGTGTCAATTTCTCTTATCCTTGCCTGTCTCACCGCTCTAGTAGATCAAATATATGGAGAAACCAGTAGTTGACAGTGAGATTGGAATTAGTGAAAATGTAACAGTAGTTCTATTATGTATGCCATAATACATAAAATACATGTAAAAAGTTAAAGGAGCTTGTTTTATTATGCAGGAAACAAGTAAGCAAAACAATATTTATAATAAAATATTCTCTTGAATGCTCAGAATTCTAAAAATGTCTTGGCTGTAGATTGGGTTACCTGCTGTTGCTTTATTACTATCCAATGCATAGAAAGTGAAATTATTTATGGACAGAAACAGACTTTAAATTTTCACTTGGTAAAGGCAACGTTTCATCCAGTACAGACAAAAAACGTTTATAATTTACTTCTTGTTTAAAGTAGCCAGTTCAGAGTAAGCCAAAATTATCCCGGAGAATTGTTTATATTAAAAACAGGCTGAGAGTTGATCTGTCATCACCCCCCATATTGGAAGATAAACACTCTTCTTGTCAAGATGTCTTTGGAAACCCCCTGTGCGGCTTCAAGGAAGACAAAACAAAGGTAAATAGTGTGCAACCCAAATCTTGCTTAACAGAATGATTTATCTTCAGGCCTACTAACCAGTGACAGGAGCACATCTAATTTTTTTCTAGTTGCTCCGGGTTTATTCATCCCTCTGAACCTAAATTCTGAGAGAAAGGAGTAGAGCGTTGGGTTTAAGACCTCGTACGCTGGCATCCATCATACTGCAAATGAATTTTGGCTCGAGCTGAAGGTAAAGTGCTCAGTCACTTTGTGCCTCAGTTTCCCTTATCTATATAATGGAGATTGTTGAAGGAATTAGGTGAGATTATACAGACCTTGGAACAGTGCCTGACATACAGGAAACCCTCAACATATGTCAAGAGTTTCCCTCAGCGCGCCACTTGGCTTGTCTTTCTAAATATTAGCATAATATAAATGGCATCAGAACGTGAGGGGCAAGGGCCACGTGATCCTTCCACGAAGGCCACTTGTAGGGGCCTTCAGAGAGTTAGCATTAAGGCTGGGAAAAAATGGCAAGCGCGCCCGCGACCCGCGCGCGATTTCCCGCCGCGCCCGCGTCCCGGGCGGCGGGCGAGCTCCGGGGGCGCCGGGGCCGCGGCGGCGGGGACGGCGGCGGCGGCGGCGGCGGCGGCGGCGCGAGCGGCGCCTCCGGGCCGGTGAATCATCCCTGCAGACACCGAGAGCCGCGGCAGCAGAGAGCAGCGCCGGAAAAATGGCTGAAGCGGGCACGGGCTTTCTGGAGCAGCTCAAGTCCTGTATAGTTTGGTCTTGGACTTATCTCTGGACCGTATGGTTCTTCATCGTCCTCTTCCTGGTCTACATCCTGCGGGTGCCCTTGAAAATCAACGACAATTTGAGCACAGGTAAGGCCCGGGCAGCCGGGCCCGCGGCGCTCGCCCCTCCCCCGCCCCGGAAAGTTAGTGCAACTCGCCCGGGGCCGCGGCCAGCGGGGGCGGCCGGGCGCGCGCTCGAGGACGCGCCGCGTCCCGCGCACCGGATGCCCGCGGCCACCCGCCAAGGACGCGGCGCCTCGGCTGGCGGGGTAGACGGAGTGTGCGAGGGCGGCTGGCGGCCTTCGCGGCTCCGCGGCCCGGCGACCCCGCGGAGGAGGAGCCGCGCCGGCAGGCGGGCCTGACCGGCGGCTGCCGCTCCTGCGCCCGAGGTTCTCGTCGGGCGGCGACAGAGGAGACGGAGGTCGGGAGGGAGGGAGTCCCCGCGTAGGCCCCCTTGGCTGTCTGCGGGTGAACCCCAAGGGCTCCTCAAATTTGTACCGTGTCCTTCCTCACACGCTGTCGGCTGCGGGTGCAGAGTGTCCGAAGTGTAGTCGGACGAGGCGTGCCTCCAGATCCCGGCGCGACTCGGCCGGTCGCGGGCGCCCCCGTGAGGGTACTGCTCAGGGGTGCCCAGCGGCGAAGTCCCCAGAAGGAGTCGACCCCGCACCTGGGGCTGGGACTGCCCGCCTGTGAGCCCCCTGAGTTGCGGGCGAAGAGGCCTCTCTTTTAGATGGGGAGAGGGTTTCTCGAAGGTACTATCAGGGCTATGGATGACGTGTCAGGTTACCAGACGGAATGTCAAAGGGACAAAAGGAGAGATACGAAATCTGGAGTTTATGATGGTTTTAAATGGTCTTAGCCCTTCTCTCTCCCTTCTTCCTGTCTGCATAAGGCGTTGATAACTAGTCATGTTCAGAATCTTAGATAAAGCTCCACATGCTAAGAAGTGAGCCCCACCGTGTCTCCTCTCCACGGTCGTAAGTGCAGAAGGTAATTAAACAGGATCTTAAACTTGCAGCCAGACAACTGAATCATTAAAAAACAACCACAGAGAAAACTCACACCAACAGTGACACTCCGGAGACAAATCAAAAACGCAAAGTATATTTTGCAGGAAGGATTACAGTTCTTGAAGTCTGGAAATCGTTGTGGGACTCGTTAGAAAGGTCTTTTCTTTTTTAAAATTTCACAGTAATTTGGGAAATCCTTACATTCTTGAATGAATGCATATGTATTCTACCTAATGTGTGATTTACATACTCCGGGAGTAAGGCGTCTGGACATGCATTTTCCTCTGTGTTGTTAACTGCACTAAAACAATTTTTAGAATGTTTGAGAAAATGTAGTCATTTTGTTAGGTACTTGTGCTTTTATTTGTGTTTTATTTAAAAAATTTTTAAATTTATTTATTTTTGGCTGCATTGGGTCTTTGTTGCTGTGCGTGGGCTTTCTCTAGTTGCGGCGAGCGGGGGCTACTCTTCTTTGTGGTGTGTGGGCTTCTCATTGCAGTGGCTTCTCATTGCAGAGCACGGGCTCTAGGTGTGCGGGCATCAGTAGTTGTGGCGCGCGGGTTCAGTAGTTGTGGCATGCGGGCTCTAGATCGTAGGCTTAGTAGTTGTGGCGCACAGGCTTAGTTGCTCTGCGGAATGTGGGATCTTCCCAGAGCAGGGTGTGAACCCATGTGCCCTGCATTGGCAGGCAGATTCTTAACCACTGCGCCACCAGGGGAGCCCCTACTTGTGCTTTTAAATACTAAACCTCATATACCTTGATTTCTTTAACTTGAACTCATGTTCATAATCACATTTGTTTCATAGTATCCCTTGGGATGGTACTCCTCGGGTGCAGATAGGACTCTGCACCCTAGAATCATCTTGCCATTTTTATAGGAGCTGCTCAGCCCTTGGATTCTGTCATCCTAGTGATGATGGCTTTCTGGCTTTTCCATCTGTTGGAGTGGTTGCTTATCAGAGTATTCTTCCTTGCTTTTGGTTTCCTTGCCTTTGGCAAATATATCTCTAAGATACCTTCACCTCGCAGCATGTGGGGTCTAAGTTCCATGTGGGATCTTAGTTCCCCAATCAGGGATGGAAACCGGGTGCCCTGCATTGGAAGGCAGGGTCTTAACCACTGGACCACTGGGAAAGTCCCCAAAGTTTTGTTATCTTAAGAAGTTGCTTGAACATATGAGGCCATGGAGTCTTATATTTATTGGTAAGTGGGTTTGATTTTTTTCTCCCAGAAAATTCATTGTAAGGTTTAAAAATTGTGAACGTTTCTCATTTAATCCACATTTAAAATTTTTATTTCAGAACACACATTTGTAATACTACATTTTCTTAACGTAGGTTAAATAATCATCTATGTGTGTATATGTGTGCATGTGCCCATAGGTGCCACATACCAATGCTTTATATAGAACAGGCAAGAAGCAAAATATCTACTGGTAATATGTGTAATTAAAAAATATATATATTTATTTATTTGGCCTCCCTGGGTCTTAGTTGCGGGGCTTGGGATCTTCTTTGCCACGTGCGGGATCTTTAGTTGTGGCATGCGGAATCTTTAGTTGGGGCATGAGGGAATCTTTTAGTTGCAGCATTCGGGATTTAGTCCCTGACCAGGGATCAAACCCAGGCCCCCTGCATTGGGAGTGCGAAGTCTTGACCACTGCACCACCAGGGAAGTCCCAATATGTGTAATTTTTAAGGAAGAAAATTGTTAGGTCCTCTCCCAGCAACTTTAAATCTAGTATTTCTCACAAACACCTTTGTTAATTTGCATTAGGGTCATTTCTCATTTGGGCTTCTAAGAGATAGAGGAAATATGAAGACGAGGTATGAGATTCAGGCCGTCTGGGCTGAATCTCATCAGACACATGATAGAGGGAACCTGAGACTGTTTATCCCAGTGATGCTGCACTACTGTTTTCAGTGTGGTTTTACCTACATTTTAGTCATAAAAGAAGGTAAAGGAGAAGCACACAGAGAGTACATCTCTCTCTGCCACTTCTGTGAGAAGGTAAGGGGAGAAGGGGACTTTGGACCCTCCTATGGTGGAACTTGTCCTTTCAGGGAGATCTAAATGGGTTCTAATGGGACTAATTTTGCTGTTCCTAAGCGCTCTGGTGCTTGCCTCTTCCTGTGATGATGAAAGCACGTGTCCCTGGAGAGGCTGCTGAATCTAGAGCTGCTTTTAGGAAGCTGTGGGTGGCCCAGGCCTCCTTCCTTAGGGAAGCTGACACTATTGACTGATTTGCAGATATTGAAAAATCCTTGCATTCCTGGGAAAAATTCCACCTGGTCATGGTGTATTATCCTTTTAATGTATTGTTGGATTTGGTTTGCTAGTATTTTGTTGAGGATTTTTGCGTCTATGTTCATCAGTGATATTGGCCTGTAATTTCCTTTTTTGTGATATCTTTGTATGGTTTTCTTGTTTTTCTAAAATTTTTGAACTTTATTTTTTTATACCACAGGTTCTTATTAGTCATCAATTTTATACACATCAGTGTATACATGTCAATCCCAATCTCCCAATTTGTCACACCACCACCACCACCCCCTGCTGCTTTCCCCCCTTGGTGTCCATATGTTTGTTCTCTACATCTGTGTCTCAATTTCTGCCCTGCAAAACGGTTCATCTGTACCATTTTTCTAGGTTCCACATATATGCGTTAATATACGGTATTTGTTTTTCTCTTTCTGACTTCACTCTGTATGACAGTCTCTAGATGCATCCATGTCTCTACAAATGACCCAGTTTCATTCCTTTTTATGGCTGAGTAATATTCCATTGTATATATGTACCACACCTTCTTTATCCATTCATCTGTCGATGGGCATTTAGGTTGCTTCCATGACCTGGCTATTGTAAAGAGTGCTGCAGTGAACATTGGGGTGCATGTGTCTTTTTGAATTATGCTTTTCTCTGGGTATATGCCCAGTAGTGGGATTGCTGAGTCATATGGTAGTTCTATTTTTCGTTTTTTTAAGGAACCTCCATATTGTTCTCCATAGTGGCTATATCAATTTACCTTCCCACCAACAGTGCAAGAGGGTTCCCATTTCTCCACTCCCTCTCCAGCATTTGTTGTTTGTAGATTTTCTGATGATGCCCATTCTAACTGGTGTGAGGTGATACCTCATTGTAGTTTTTTTTTTTTGCGGTACGTGGGCCTCTCACTGTTGTGGCCTCTCCCGTTGTGGAGCACAGGCTCCGGACGCGCAGGCCCAGCGGCCATGGCTCATGGGCCCAGCCGCTCTGCAGCATGTGGGATCCTCCCGGACCGGGGCACGAACCCGCGTCCCCTGCATCAGCAGGCGGACTCTCAACCACTGCGCCACCAGGGAAGCCCTCTCATTGTAGTTTTGATTTGCATTTCTCTAATAATTAGTGATGTTGAGCAGCTTTTCATGTGCCTCTTGGTCATCTGTATGTTTTCTCTGGAGAAATGTCTATTTAGGTCTTCTGCCCATTTTTGGATTGGGTTGTTTGTTTTTTTTAATATTGAGCTGCGTTTTTTTTTTTAATATTGAGCTGCAAATTTATATATTTTGGAGATTAATCCTTTGTCCATTGATTTGTTTGCAACTATTTTCTCCCATTGTGAGGGCTGTCTTTTCGTCTTGTTTATGGTTTCCTTTGCTGTGCAAAAGCTTTTAAGTTTCATTAGGTCCCATTTGTTTATTTTTGTTTTTATTTCCATTACTCTAGGAGGTGGATCAAAAAAGATCTTGCTGCGATTTATGTCAAAAAGTGTTCTTCTTATGTGTTCCTCTAAGAGTTTTATAGAGCCCAGTCTTACATTTAGGTCTCTAATCCATTTTTTTTTTTTTTTTTGTGGTATGCGGGCCTCTCACTGTTGTGGCCTCTCCTGTTGCGGAGTACAGGCTCCGGGCACACAGGCTCAGCGGCCATGGCTCACGGGCCCAGCCGCTCCGTGGCATGTGGGATCTTCCCGGACTGCGGCACGAACCCGCGTCCCCTGCATCGGCAGGCGGACTCTCAACCACTGTGCCACCAGGGAAGCCCTCTGATCCATTTTGAGTTTAATTTTGTGTATGGTGTTGGGGAGTGTTCTAATTTCA